CTAATATGGATTTTATAAAATTTTTATTTATTTTTGTTTCACAACCTTTTTTTTTTTTTGGTACTGGGAATTGAACTCGGGTCCTTGTGCTTGTGCAGCAGGAGGCGAAACCACTGAGCTAAATCCCTGGCCTCTCAACGTTTTTTTTTTAGTGCATATAAATTCCGTTTTGGCAGAGTATGCACATAACATACTTTGAAGTAACACAAATGACAGTAAGCTAATAAAGATCGAGTAAAATCATAGCAAACACTGCAAAACAAAGCAAAAAGAGGTAAAGGCAATAACCCAGGAACATGTCATTTTGCTGTTGGTAGATTTAATCTAAGCATATAAAATTATATTAAATATGAATGGCTTAAACACACGTTAAATAGTGATTGGTTAAAAAATCAAGAATCAATTATATGCTATAAACCTAAGATGGTGATAAATATAAAGGTAAGATAGAGATGAAGATAGTAGGTGTGAAAGATAAGATAGGATGATTATATAATTTGGGAAGAATTCCAGTCTCTAAAACTTTCTACTTAGAAATTTGATTTTCTTAAGACAATAGCATAAATATGAGAACACAAAAACCATAAAAAGCACTTAAAAAAATCAAATCATGTGTCATGAAGTTTTAGTGTACCCATTTTATAAACTTATATAGCATTATAGCATTTATTTGCCTTAATAATTCACTTCAGAGTATTTCATTATTTGATCTGAGCCTCAGGTGTGGGTGGGCACTGTGAGTACTTCATACACAAGTATGCAGTTCCTGGTTCCTTCTTGGAAACACATCCCTCTTAATCTCTGCACGGAGTGGGACGTTATTGGCAATTACTTTTGTTCTGAGATTGTGCTAGCTTTGCTCATAGTTCACTGGAGCTAGTAAAGAGATGGAATATAATTCAGAATCTGTGCTCTGCCAGAAAAAATAAAATCTATCCCTGGAGAATTTGTACTTTGACAAGAATGAGTCTTAGTGATGGGCTCTGAACCCATAGCCTTAAACTGATGAAGACTTTGGGAAGAGAGGGAAAATGTGGTGCAAATGGAACCAGCGAGGCCAGTCTGTGTAATCCCAGAGAGGAACAAACACGGAGACCAAAGAGAAAAGGAAATCAGCGCTCACAAAGTCCAAGGGATAGAAAGAATGTTTTATTCAACTCCGGATGAGTTTTCACTTCTTGCTTCTAATGTACAATGATAACTGTCTCTTCTTTTGTTTCTTTGTTTTCACAAAATATTCTTCTCCCTTTACCTACATTTTAAAATCAGTTTACCTATTTCACCCCATGAAACTAAATTACTCTAATTTTTTATTTGATAATTTAATTAATAATTAAGATACTACCAACCACCATCTCTGATGTGAAATAGAACAATTCTTATTGTATTAAAGTTATTAGTAGAAAGCACATGTATTACTTTACAATGAAGCACACAGAAATTGTCCATATTTATTGCACTGCTGCTCTATGTATGCCCTTTTCTAATTCCTCTATTTGTATACATAAAAAGCAGAACCAATCTTACAAATACTATGGTATCAAAAATAGTCGTCCCTCAAAGATATCTCTGTCTAAATTCACAAACATAAATACAGAAATTTACACGGCTAAAAGGACTTTGCAGGCATTACGGAGTTAGGATATTATAATGAGAAATTATCCTGGAAAATCTAGGTTGGCCCGTTATATTCATGACATTACTCAAAAAAAAATAAGAGACAAGAAGGGCAGAATCAGAGGAGGATTTGAAGATGCTTCACTACTGGCTTTAAAGGGGAAGGAAGGAATCAGGAAGCCAAAGGGGTGTGGAGCCTTCAGAAGGAATTCAGCCCTAAGAACTTTGCGATTTTCATCCAACCTTTCCAAATTTGTGATCTCCAGAACTGTCACATAATACATGTGTTGCTTTAAGCCTTGAAGTGGTATCAGTGTTACAGCATCAAAAGAAAACTAAGACAAGTGATGAAAACTTAACAAATAGAGAGTCTCTATATTAATGAAGTTGCTGTAATTTAATGGGTGTACATTTTATGGTTTTAAATGTGTGGAGTGGAATGCTATAGTAATAATTATACAATAATTATACTTTTGATACAACAGAGTTGTCTAATTGGTGTCTTGTTCCTCAACCATGTATATTTTTTGCAACAATTACTATATTTTATATATTGTACTAGATGCTCATTACCTGCAGGATGTTGGAATAGTAATTTATTATATCCCAAAGCTGGTGGATATAGTTTTTAATAACTTCATTTTTGCAATAAGTATACTGAATTACAGAGAAATTTGCTAAATTTATTAGGTTTAATAACCTAATGGAAAGTGACAACTAAGATACAAAGGTTTATTAACTCCATGTTCAAATATTTTACTATTTTATCTACTCTTTGGTTCAATATTCATTTTGTTTTTCCAAGTAATTTCTTAGGGGACATATTTTGTCTGTGGAGAGGGTCCTACATAAACCTGTGTGAAGAAGTTTCGTAAAAGCTACTGAAGGACAGTTATCAAGAGGACAAGCAAGAGGGAGAACCGTATGCTTGTCAGGGCACAATTTCTGTCCTTAAAAGAGAGAAATTTGCCCCCACGAAGCTGAAGTATTGCATTAAAAGTTGTGTCTTGAAAAAAAATAATGGAATCAAACTCTGTGTAGATAGGGAAGGGTGGAGGGGGTGAAGGGTGCACAGGTAATGGGAGAAAAAATAAAAACTAAGATGCATCGTGTTCTGGTACAAACACCCAATGATAAATGTAAATGTATTTTATACCTAAAATGTACCAATAAATATATATATATTTTAAAAAGTTGTGTCTTAGAAAGATGTTTATAACTCAAATTCTCAAACTTCAGAATAACTGATGACCTCTCACAGTGCTAAGTCAATGAAGATTAAGACATTTTATAGTCCATGTTAGGTGTTTTAAAAATTCTTCATCCAGACTTTTATTGGAAAACTTCTGCTTTTTGACTCTTCATTATAAAGTAGAGTCCTCTAAAGTTCATGAAATTAATTTAGGAAAGAAACAACCCAAACCTCAGCTAAATTTTATGGCTTTTATTAATGTATCAGCACTTGTTATTCAACTGAATCCACATTGAACATTAAACTTTTCTCATTATTGATGTTAATTCAATAATTATTAGACAAATTATAGCAACATTAATTCAAATTTCAAAATATAGGTATATGTAATGATAAAATTATGTAAACATGCAAAGCTAATTTCTCAAGAAATTATCACAGTAGTTTTCTTTCATTATAAATTTCCAAAAGCATTTAAATTAATAAGTGAAGCATATATTCCAGAATCTCTAGAAAAAGTTTTCTTGAAACTTTTAACTTCATTAAGATTTTCCATGCAGCAAAAGACAATGTTCCTAGAAAAGTAATAAATATATCTAAATGTTATAGGAAAACATTTTAAATCTTGGTTCCAAATATGGAAATTATTTAAAATAAATTCAATTAGTATAAATTTAGCAAATGTTTATACATATTCTCTAATAGAACAAGAAATAGTATATCTAAAATTACATATTTTGCCTTCATACACAAATTTATATATAAGCAACTACTGAGAATAATAGATAATGAATTATTAGTCATGATTCTAGAGATAAAATGCTATAAAGATTGAAGTGGTATTTTTCACTTATCAGGTTCATATTAAAAGTTTTGTTAATATACATTCCTCTTCGATGTCTATTGCAGTCACATAACCCTTAGCAAAGAGTCTGTGCTGTTTTTGTTTTGGTAAGAACATACTCTATAGCTCACTCTTTAGTTGCCATGTGGCAGTGTCTGATCCATGAACTCATTTCTAGGGGTGCACTGTATTATTGTTTCAACAAGCTAAGCTAATAAAAATACACACTGAATACATAGTATCTGTAGAGAATGGTGTGTGTCTATATTTACTTACTAATAACTAAAAGATACATATGGAAAATGTATATGACATAGCAGTGCCATATATATAATCTTTTTCATACAAACTGCAATGTTTTAATTAAATAATTCATTTATTTATATTCACTAGTCCATTCATTTTTTTTGTTTTACCAGTGAGCCTTACATAAAAGGAAAAAATTGAATCAGTCAGGAATCAAAGTATGAAAATTAAGAGGTGATGAAAATTAAGCATTATTTGCATAATAAATAACTTTCTGTAGCAGTTTAATTAGTAATAAACGTACGCAGAGTATATACGTAAAGTGACTAAGTAACCTTATATCCGTGAAATTAAATATTATTACAACACAGAGCACAAGGGTTTCGTAGTGACGTGGATTTTGAGTAAAAGAAACACGGCAGCATGGAGCACGACCAGTTAGTGTACAAGATGAAAAATGCAGAACCCTGAGCCTAGGCCAACTCCAGCAGCACGGCAGGGCACCCAGCAGCAAGGGGTCAGCTGTGCATAACAGATTTGCACTTGGGTGACTTTTCCCAAGTCTGCTTCAGGTACATAAATATTCTCTGACCTTTTGGAGATGCAAAGCCTCAGTAATCTCAAGGTATATAGGCCTCAATATAAGGATACTCAGTCCAGAGGACAGTGCAGTGTAAAATCTTACATTTTCTGATGTCAGAAAAGTAGTTGAATCCAGGCATGGTGGTGCATGCCTGTGATCCCAGCACTTGGAAGGCTGAGGCAGGAGGATCACTGTGAGTTCAAGGCCAGCTTTGGCTACATAGTGAGTTAAAGGCAAGCCTGAAGTGCTTAGTGAAATTGTCTCAACAAACAAACAAACAACAACAACAAAGAAATGTAGTTGGACATTATGTTAAAGAGTTTCTTTAATGCTTTTTAACTGAATGAACACGCTCAATTAAAAAAAATTCATTTTTTGTTAATGGTATCTTGTTTATTTAAAACTTTCCTATACTCGACTTAATAAAAATATCTAAGAGAACTTTCAGGAGTGTTTCTAAATCCTAGGCATTGATAGAATGTAGTTATTAGAGAAGGCTAGGAAGCAAGGTTATTAGGTTAATTGCATTCCATTTTGTCATTTCCTTTCTTTCTATTGTATCCTAGAGAGTTGAATAAAACTCATTATCAAATTCAAAACTAGTTTTTGTAAAATTGGAGCTTACAAAAACTTAGAAGTATATTATGTGCAATCTTTAAATATAATCAATTCTAATCACCTACTGACTTTCATATTTACAAAATAGGAAGTTAGAATGTGTTTATAACATCTGGTTCTCAATAAAGCCGTGCAGGGGTGGGGGCCCCTGGATTCTGTGCTTCTCCTACCAGAGGCTCAATTCGCACCCAGCATCCCCAAGTCCTGTGGGGGCAGCATGAACTGGGGCTGAGGAAGCGTCCTTGCCAAAAGTGAGAACAGGTATATTTCTCACTTCAGTTCTCAGCCTTTTAAAAGAGAAGTTCCCTCCTTTCTTTTCTCTAGTTCCTTTCATTTGCTAGAAAGCTCATGATGGTAAAGCTGCAAGTGGAAAAACCGTAGGTCCCTGAATTTCACCGAGGAAAGCCTCCTCTTGATCAGGGAACAAATGAAAATCATCAGCTGAGCCCCCAACAGAATCCTGTCGAGTCATGTGACTACGATGTGAAGGTTTGTGTATTAAACAGCAAGCACTGACCCAGGTAATGCACATCATTTTTGCACTTAATATATAATGTATTCGTTTTCATTTTAACTCGTTTTTGAGTTACAATTTGGGGAACAGAAGTTAAACACGTATATACATATTTTTCCTCTCAATAGAGTAATAATTAATAATATCTACAGAATTGAATGATATAATTTTCAATTTTACTATTATATACTTTCTTCCATGTTTCTACTAATAGCAAGTCTGTGATTTGAAATTTGGGGGGGGAAATATACCTCTACCATGATCAGAATTTTGGGGGGATCAGATATTCTTTCTTTATAGCTGTAACAAGTCAAACTAGATGGGGAAGGTTCAGGTAACAGAATTCATTTTGTATTTCTGTAAGTTACATCAGGGCAAGTGTCATGGCTGTGTTTATTATGTTTTCATTTTAAAATAGTAGACAGAGTATATTAAAATCAAACAAAATAAAACAGCCAACAAAGAAAACAAGATTCTTATTTTCTTCTTGCCAAAAAAAGCAATGATCCTGATCTGCTCTCATGGGCAAGGTTTCTGTAGGAGAAGGTATGCCGAGCTAGGGCAGCTGTTAGAAAGTGCCCACTGATGCCTGTCAGCTCTCAGGATTATTGTGAAAACTTTGAAACCAAACCTTCCATTTCCTTCTTTTAACAGTTGGCCATAATGATTCACAATTATGATTTAATGCTGTTTTTCCTTGAAATGAATGCACCATATAGAAATCATAAAATACAAAGCTGCCATCTCTCTTACCTGTGTACTTATGCACTTTGTGGATGAAATTTAGAAGAAGCAGGACTAAGTTCTGAAAGCCAGTAAGGTCCTTGATGAAGGGACTTTTATCCCTGCCAACCGGAATCCGTGACAGCAATCCCTGATGGAATTCATACATTCTCACCAAAGTTGTAGGAAAGCGTAGTGGAGCTAAATAATCCACAAATAAAACCCAGTTTCTTTGAAAATCTGCTTCCGATTTAGAATAGTATTTTGACCTAATAGATAAGAGGAGAAAAAGGTGTGCATTTGAAATTAGTCCACTCAGAATTTTCTAAAAACTAATTTTTAAAAACTGAAGGTCTTATCCAAAGCTGTTATTTTCTAAAATTTTCTAAAAACTGATTTTTAAAAAGTGCCCATCAATTGGAAACTGGATAAAGAAAATGTGGGTTTTTTAAATAAAATGGAGTACTACTCAGCCATAAAGAATGACAAGCTAGAGACATTTATAGCTAAATGGATGCATATTGAGGCCATACTCTTAATGAAATAAATAGGACACACATGTAAATACCAAATAGTTTCTCTGGTGTGAGAAACTGAAAATGTAAATAAGGATTAAAATGATTAAAACAAATAATTGGTAATTTGAAATAGGAAGAAAAGGTCCAAAGGGGTAGGGGAAGTGGGAGGGGAAGGAGAAAGGAAAGAAGGGAAAGGAAAAATTATAAGAAAAGGAAAAAAGGGAAACAAAGTCTTTGTAAATAGGGAAGGGTGGAACGGGTAAAGGGAGGACAGAGAATAGGGAAAAAAAAGATCCAAGATGCATCATGTACAGGTACAAGCACCCAATGATAAATGTAAATGTATTGTACACCTAAAATGTACCAATAAAAGAATTTAAGGGAAAAAAACCTGATGGTCTTATCCAAAGCTGTTATTCTACGATTGAGAATATAGATTGTATTAAGTTGTTAATTTGAACATGAGAAAAGCTTAACATGGAAATCACCATTTCAAATAGTAAATATTTCTTAGTTAAAGGTTTTGTCCTTTTTTTGTATATCCTTTTATTGGTACATTTTAGGTGTACAATATGATGACATTCATCATTGGAGATATGCACCTTTACATACTCTCTTAGTTCTTATGTTTTTCCCCCTTCCCCTACCCTCCCTTCAACCCCTCCATCCCTCCCTATGTTTTGTCCTTTTTCGACCATGCTGTACTTGCATAGTGCTGAAATGTGGCCAAGTGTTGTTATTTTAAAATATAAAAAAGTCAAAGAAAATGAGGCAAAATGCCTGGTGGAATCAGGCATTTCTTGAAGAACATACGATTTTTAGAACAACTGGCACCTGCAAAATAAATAAATTGGAGAGGTTTTTTTGTTTTGTAGGAAATATGGTGTTTTTCCTTGGCTAAGTATGCTAGAAAGCCAATTTTTTTTAGAAAGAAATTTTAAATTTGTATGAATTGTTTTCCATGTGAGTTAGCTTTCTGTCACTGTGATAAGATACCTGAGGTGAGCAATTTAAAGGAGCATTTTTTCCCCTCATGGTTTGAGAAATTTCATTCAGTCCATGGTTGCCTGGCTCCTTTGCTTTCAGGCCCGTGGGCAGGTAAAATTGTCACGGGAGAAGGGGGTGGCAGAGGATTCGCTTACTTCATGGTGGCCAGGAAGCATAGAGAGAGAGAAAGGGTCAGGCAGGATGTGGGCAGGGACACTAGCCCTTCAGAGCCATGCCCCCATTGACCAACTGCTTCCCATCATAATAAGCCCGTTCAGAGAATGAACTCATGCGAGGATGAATCCACCTGATGAAGTCAGAGCCCTTGGATCCAGTCACTTCCCAAAGCCCATCTAGGAAGATACCTGGAAGAGGAATACCTGGGTCAAATGATTTTTTTTTCTTTTTATTTTACTGGTACATTTCAGATATATGTAATGATAACATCCATCATAGGAATTTTTTTCCATGATATATCTTGGTTCTTTTTTTTTTTCCCATTCCACCCCCTTCCTCAAAAAACTAGGACTAGAGGTTCCATTTGACCCTGCTATTCCCCTTTTTGACATCTTCCTGGAAGAATTAAAAGCATTATACCATAGCGATATATGCATACCTATGTTTGTAGCAGTGCAGTTTGTAATAGCTAAATCTTGGAAACAGCCCAAGTGCCTATCAAGTGATGAATAGATAAAGATTTTTTTTTTTATACAATGGAGTACTACTCAGCCATAAAGGTTATACTTCAGACATTTCCAGGTAAATGTGGATGCACTTTGAGACCATCCTCTTCAGTGAAATAAATTGGACACACATGTTTAAATATCACATTGTTTCTCTGGTGTGAGAAACCGAAAGTGTGAATAAGGAGCAAAATTCTGTATGATCTTTTCAATGATTTGCTTGCATTCTGTCTATGAATATCTCATTGAGGATTTTTGCATCTATCTTCATTAATGTAGTTCTCTTTTTGGTTAGGTCCTTTTCTGGTTTTGGAATCAGAGTAATGCTTGCCTCCAGGAATGACCCTGGGAGTACTGCTTCCCTTTCAATTTTGTTAAAGGTTTTGAGGAGTATTGGCATTAGATCTTCTCTAAAGTTCTTGTACAACTTAGCAGTGACTCTGTCAGGACGTGTGTTTTTCTTGGTTGGTAGTTTTTAAAAAATTACTTCTTCAGAGCCGGGGATGTAGCTCAGTGGTTCCGTCGCCTGCTTCACAAGTACAAGGACCTGAGTTCGATCCCCGGTACCAAAAAAAAAAAAATTACTTCTTCAATTGCATTGACTGATATTGGATTACCCAGAATTTTTTATATCTTCTTGCTTCAGCATTGGTAGTTCATATGCATCGTTGAATCTATTTATTTTGAATTTTCCACTTGATTAGAGTACGGCTTCTAAAAGTAGTTACCAATGATTTCTGGATTTTTATAGAATCTGTTATGATTTCATCTTTTTTATTGCTAATTGCATGGATTTGGGTCTTTTCTTATTTTGATAAGATTGGCTAAGGGTTTGTCCATTTTGTTTATTCTTGCAAAGAAGAAACTTTTCAGTTCATTTTTTTTTTTAGTCTCATTTCCATTAATTTCTGCTCTGATCTTTATTATTTTCTTCCTCATACTTGCTTTGGATTTGAATTCTTCTTGTTTTTCTAGGACTGTGAGGTGCATCCTTAGGCTATTTATTTGAGCTTACTTTGTTTTTCTGATGTGGATATTTACTGCGGTAAACTTACCTCTTAGTACTGCTTTCATAGTGTCTGATAGGTTCTGGTATATTCTACTGGCATTATTGTTTAATTGTAGGAACTGTCTAATTTCTTCCCTAAATTCTTCAGGATGCATTGATTAGTCAGGAGGATATTGTTTAATTTCCAAGTGTTGGCATAGTTTCTGTGGTTTCTTTTGCCATTGATTTCTAGTTTAATTGCACTATGATTTGATAATATGCACAAGTTAATTTCAATTGTTTTGCATTTATTTAAGCATTCTTTATGGGCTGGTATGTGGTCTATTTTGGAGAAAGTCCTGTGTGGTACTGAGAAGAATGTGTATTCTATTGTTGTTGGATAGAACACTCCATAGACATCTATTAGGTCTATTTGTTCAAAAGTTTGATTCATCTTTGTTGATTTTTCTCTAGTTGTTCAGTCTATTTGTGACAGTGAGGAATTGAAGTCCCCCACTACAATGCCACTGGTGTTTTCTGACTTTTCATGTCCACTTAGTGTTTATTTTATGAAGTTGGGTGTGCTGGTGTTTGGTGTGAATATATTTATGATTGTTATTTCTTCTTATTTAATTGTTCCCTTTAACATCTTTGTGGCTTTCTTTGTGTCTTCTGATCAGTTTTGTCTTGAAATCCAGTTTCTCTGAAATTAGGATTGCTACTTCCACTTTTTTCTGGTTTCTTGTTGCCTGGAATATTATTTTCCATGCTTTGATGTTTAACCCATGCATTTCTTTTTTAATTAAGTGTGTTTCTTGTATACTGCTTATCACTGAGTTTTGTTTCTAGATCCATTGTACCAATCTATTTCTTTTGACTGGGGAACTGAGACCATTCACATGGACAGTTATTACAACAGCATTTTTATTTATTCCTGTGAGTGCATTATTTTCTTGTTTCTGATTTTTTGTTTTTATTTTTGCTTTTGTTTTGGCTCATACTTGCTATGTCGTTCATGTTGGCCTTGGACTCACTATGGAGCCCAGGCTTGCCTCAAATTTGAAACAATCCCCTTGCTTCAGCCGATAGGCATGCACTATCACACCAGGCTTGATTTTCTTACTTGTTTTTCCTTTGCTTAGCTGCTCATCCTGCTAGGTGTATTCATTCTTTTTGACTTATTGGCATTGTTAGCTTCATTGTCTCTTTCCAGGATATTCTTGAGAATATATTTCATAGTCATGCATTTCTTGAGATTCTCCTTGTCATGGAAATACCTTCTTTATCAACTTTGAAGGAAAACTTTGCAGCATATATAAGCTGGCACTGGAAGTTATCTTTTAGGGCTTGAAACACTTCACTCCAAGCCCTTCTGGCCTTCAAAGTTTTTATTAAGAAATCTGCTATAATTCTAATGGGTTTAGTTTATATGTGATTTGTTACTTTTCTCTATCAGTTTTAGATTTTCTCCCTGTGATGAACTTGTAATTTGAGTACAATGTGGCATGGAGGGGTTCTCTTTTGTTCATGGCTATTTGGGCTTTTATATGCTTCACTTTTTGTATGTTTATTTTTTCCCTATCTTGGGGAAGTTTTCTTCCATTATTTCTGTGAACGTTTTTCTTTTCTTAAATTCTTTTTTGGGTACATTTTAGATATAAGATAAGTTTACATTTATGATTGGGTACCTATACCTGTACATGATGTATCTTGGTTCTTATTTTTTCCCCATTCCCTGTGTGCCCTTCACCCCCTCCACCCTTCCCTATTTACACAGACATCATTTCCATTTTTTTCTTTTCTCATAGTTTTTCCTTTCCCTTCTTTCATTTCCCCTTCCCCTCCCTTCACTCCTTCGTCTTTGGACCTTTCTTCCTATTTCAAATTATCAATTATTCATTTTAATCATTTTAACCCTTGTTTACACTATCAGTTTCTCACACTAGCGAAACTATTCGGTATTTACACATGTGTGTCCTATTTATTTCACTTAAGAGTATGGCCTCTATATGCATCCATTTAGCTATAAATGACTCTAGTTTCTCGTTCTTTATGGCTGAGTAGTACTCCATTTTATAAAAAAAAAAACCACATCTTCTTTATCCAGTTTCCAATTGATAGGCACTTGGGCTGCTTCCAGCTTTAGCTATTACAAATTGTGCCACTATGAACATTGGGTGCACATATATCTCTGTGGTATGATTCTTTTAATTCTTTGGGGAAGATACCCAGCAGGGGAATAGCTGGATCAAATGGGACCTCTAGTCCTAGTTCCTTTTTTTTAGTCCTAGTCCTTTGAGATATCTCCATACTGATTTCCACAGTGGTTGCACCAGTCTACACTCCCACCAGCAATGGAGAGGGGTTCCTTTCTCCCCACACCGCCGCCAGCATTTGTTATTGGTTGATTTCTTGATAGCAGCTATTCTTTCTGGGGTTAGGTGGAATCTCAGCGTTGTTTTCATCTGTATCTCTCAAATGACCAGCGATGTTGAACATTTTTACATATATTTGTTTGCTGCTTTTATTTCTTTGTCTGAGAAATGTCTGTTCATTTCAGATGCCCTCAGACAAAGGATTACTATCTAGAATATATAAAGAATTGAAAAACATCAGACCCCCCAAATTCTGTGAACTTTTTAAAATGCCATTTGTGTTGTTTTCTGGATTTTCACTTTTTCTAAGTACTCTTAGATTAGTATCTTTGCATCTTCTTTCTGCTATTGAATCCATTTTTTCATGTTCTCCTTTTGCTTTTAAAGTATGAAGCCTTGCAGGTGTTCTGAGCTCAATCAGCCCTTCCCCAGAATGATGTCCAACCAAGCACTCTCTTCAGGAGATATTGCGGGCACCTGAACTGGAGCTCTTGCTTGTGGAAGAATTCCCGTGGGAGCAGTGTCTTGTACCTGCACTCACAGCGACTGTCTGTGTTCCACTGCCGCATTTCTCCTTGAGGCTTCCCGGAGCTCCCAGCTTCCCCTTTCCATTGTAGCTTTGGCTTCCCTTTCCCATGAGTCACAAGCTGGGAACCAGGAAGCAAGTGCAGATGCAGATGCCTCTTTCCTTCTCCACATTGTGTTCTGTCTCTTCAATTTCTCTGTAGCTTTTAGTTTTCCTGTCAGATCACTCCCGACCTCCTAGGATCTACTTCTCTTTTTTTTCTTCCCCAAGTTGTTATTTTCCCATGTCTGGATCCCAAATCTTGGAGAGTTGCTTTTACTCACCATTTCACTATTTTCTCTCTCCTCAAGAATTTCATTTGTGAAAAGTTGGATTATTTATGTTATTATAAGTAAGACTTTAAAACATTTTGGATACATGTATCCTATTGTATGTATGATTTGCTAATATTTTCTTTCATTCTCTTGTCTTTTACTTTCTCAATGGTGTCATTTACAGCATCAAAGCTTTTCACGTTACAGATTTTATAATTGTTATCAATTTTTCTTTACTCCTTTGTTCTTTTAGGCTAAAAATATAAAAAATGCCCAAGCAAAAACAAACAAACAAACAAAAAAAAGACCAAAAAAATGTTTTAGTCTAAGAATTTTAAAGTCTTAGATTTTATGTTAAGGTCTATGATGTATTTTAAGTTAATTTTGCTGTTGTAGGAGACAAACAGTTCAGTTGAATGTGACTTTCCAGTTTTCCCAGAAGCATTTGTTGAAAAAAAAAAACAAAAATCCCTCTTCTTTACTAGTTGAATTCTCTTCCATCTTTGTTGAAAATCAAGAGACCATCAATTTAAGAATTTATTTCTAGACTCTTATAATTCTATTAATCCTACTCTCTCTCTCTGTTACTTTGCCAGTACCACACCTACTGTTATTGTAGTGTTTGTTTACCTGTAAATGCCTTGCTTATTCCTTCACTTTTAGTGTAGAATTTTGCTGGACATATAATTCTCGGTTGACTTTTTTTTTTCTTTCAGCATTTTGAATATGTCTCCTGTTCTTCATGGTTTCCAATGAGAAATCAACTATTAACCTTATGCAGCAGCCCTTATATAGGAAGAACCATTTCCTTCTTGTTGTTTTTTAGATTCTCTCTTTGTCTTTGGATAGTTTGACTATAATTTGTTTCAATGTCATTCTTGAGTTCATCTTAGAGTTCACTGAACTTCTTGCATGTATATTTCTAAATAAAATTTGGGGAATTCTTTGGCTATTTTTTTTCATTAAATATTCTTTCTGCTTTTTTTTCTCTGCCCCTCCTGGAAATTTCATTATGTACTTGTTGTGTGTAGCATCGTATTCTACAAGTCTGTGACGGTATGTTCATTTTGTTTTTCTTTCTGTTTCTCTTATGGAATAACTCAACTTACCTATATTTTAAGTTTATGAATTCTTTTTCCTGCCTGTTGAATCTGCTTCTGAATCCGAGCACTGAATTTATTTTGAGTACTGTATTTTTCAACTCCAGAATCTCTAGTTTTCTTTTGCTATAAATTTTACTTACTAATATTCTCTACTGAGAAAAATGTCAGTTGTCATACTTGCATTAAATTCTTTACACATAATTTGCTTGAATGTGTTTATAATAGCTAATTAAAAATTTTGGGCTAATATATCCATTGTCTGGACCTACTTAGGAATAATTTCAATGGCATGTGTGTGTGTGTGTGTGTGTGTGTGTGTTTATGTGTGTATGTATGTATATGTGTGTGTAGTATTTTCTTATTTTAAAAAATACTTCTTACTTTTTGTTCTGAAAATTGGAAACTTCGGAATGTATGAGGTAGCAACTGTGAAAAGCAGGTACTCGAGTGTTCTGGAGTAACTCAGTACATTCAGTTTGCCTTCTCTGCTGAATTATCTGTAGTGAGCCATTATTGAAGACCCCTGCTCAGTAACCATAGCGGTCAGCTAATGAGTGGTTAAAATTTCCTCAACTTCTTTGAATCAATGTCTTCTACCCTTTGCCAAGGGTGTGTGTGTGTGTGTGTGTGTGTGTGTGTGTGTGTCTGTGCGCGCATCTTGGGGCACAGCTTCCATGCCAAGGGTTTTACAACTCTGCCTTAGCCCTTACTTCTTGTTGAAAGGCTCTGCCCAGCCAGATATTGGAGTTTAGAGTTCCCCCACTTTCTGTCTGAGAAGTATGTCCAGAACTGTTCATGTTTGTAGCTCCTTAGAGCCCCAAGAGTATTTCAGAACTTTCTAAAATTTCTGAAGACATTGTCCTCCAGATGGTCTCTTTGAGTTTTGGGCCTATTTATTTGTCCCAGGTTATATAGCAGGCAGCTGGTGTGCTAAGCAATTGATACTAATTTTTTTAAATGCCCTGGCGATAAAGCTTTCCCCACAAAATGAGTAGTTTAAAGAACAGCAACAGTCTGAGAAGCAACTTTCCAGGGAGATGTAAGACAGGTCAAATAGTAACAGAGCTTTAGGAAAAAGGGCTTTTTGATGAGCTACGAACTCAGCGGACCCTTTTGTAACTGCATAGCTGCTACTTTTTGTAGCCATAGAAGTTGCTAGATTGTTAGCCTTTAAGGCTACTGCAGAATTGGAGGAAATGGGATGTCAGGTTAAAATATCCTATGTTCTTCACTTTTAAAACATATGTTTTCCAGAGTATTGAAGGTCATTGATTAATTTTGATAATTTTGAAAATGTTGATTTGAGCCATTTGTATCTGTGGTTTTACTTCCTTTATGAGAGTGAATTTAATGAGATCATCAACTGCTCTTCTGAAAGTAAGACATAAATTAATTCTTTTTAATAGCTGAAGAAATGAAGTTATCTAAAGAAGATAAAGTGACCTACTGCAAGGAAGAATATTGAGGTCGACAACCTTTTCTCTGCCTCCAATAACCTCATTTCTCTTTGGCAGTCGTTGGAATTAGGTCGAGTGGTTGAGTCAACACAGGGAGCTGTTTTGCTGGCTGCAGTTCTGACTCACTTGGCAGACTTGGCAAGGGGTAAACTCTTCTCTTGTGCAGTATAAACATCAGTCTTGGAGCAAGACTAAGAAGAAGAAAATGCAAAATACTATGAATCTCCTGACTCTGATTTGTTTACCCAAATTGGACAAAGGGTCGGTGGGAATCAAAATAATATAGAGATCTTATAGTTACTTGTTTGTTATTACATCCTCTTTAGATACCACTTGGTGTTAAGAACAGCCTTTACAAAAAGATTTACCTTGTATTTAGGGTTATATTCTATTTATTTATTTATATTTATTTTGGTACCAGGGGTCCAACTCCAACCTTGTGCTTGTGAGGCAGGCGGTGGAACCACTGAGCTAAACCTCTGACTCCTATATTTTATTTTATTGCTTTACTTTGTTGTATTTGTAGTAAGTCCACTTTTCTTTAAATTTTTATTTTCTTATTGTAAAATACTTTTTGAACTTTATCCACATAAAAATATTTTCTTGTGAGTTTTCTTTTTATCATTTACTCCATTCTGGTAAACAATAATTTGAAAAAGACTTCAATAAAAATGTAGCATTAGATGGAAAAGTTGTTATATTATAATAAAATAATGGGGTTCATTCTTACCTACTTTGAAAACTTTTACCAGCAACTTTCAGGGATGAGAAGTGGGCATCCCATACATACTTCAGCAGGTCATCAAAGCTACTAGCAGGTGACTTTACATGCTGTCCAAGAAGAAAAACATTTTTAATATTTAAGCAATTATGAAAGTCTTTCTTCCTGAAAAATAACTATTTAGAAACATAATTTTTCAACACACTAAGTTGAAGGAAAACACTGTTTCTAAGTAAACTAAGTTATCAAAGGTTTAGTACTTAATTCTTTCTCAAGAGCTTAATATTATTAATTAATTAATGGTAATACTGATTTA